TTTTTTGAAGAACTGCTCATGCTTCATATTGTTTCTGAAACTAAACGTTTTGCAGACCAGTATATAAACCAACATCCTTCAAAAGAAAAATCAAGAACAAAATCGTGGTATCTAACCAATTTAGAAGAAATATTTGTTCTTCTAGGTATAACACTGAAACTTGATATTATACTTTAATGGTCTAAAAATAAATTAATTTGAACTCCATTTTTGGAGGATCTTTTTTATTATACAAACATAATTTTTATTATTCTTTTACTCTAAAAATTAAAGTTTGTGCTTTCATTTTTCTTTTGCAAAAGTAAGACTTGCACTTATTTCCCCCCCAATACATGGCATAACTGTGCATGCCTGTGTGAAAAACGGTGGCACTGGGGAATGAATCTTGTACGTTTTTCACGGCAGTTAAGGGGTTAAATCATATTTCTTATTATCAGCAAATAAAAAGCATGGGATATAACCTACTTCTATGTTACGGCATTAACTATCAACACATCTTCACATGAATGGCAGTGAAAGTACTAAACTGGCACCGTTTTAAGCATGTAAACTTAATCTTCAATTTGAATTTACACCATAGATGCCAATTAATAGATTTCAAGAAGTAAGCTAATCTTTACTACACGATAATTGCTAACTAGAAATTTAGAGATGACTTCATATCACAAGTACAATGCAGTTTGTTACAACATTAATGGACAAATCAGCACTTGTTCCCTTTATAACATGAATCTATTCACCTTAAAATGGAGTAAATTTGTAGTAGCTTTGAGTGATTAGCATGAGTTAGTCCTTTTCTCACTTATTAATGTTAATTGTTAATACATAAGTGATTGTAAATAAAAATAAATGTATTGAATACAAATAAAATTGGATGTCTAAAAGGTAGAGAAGAAACTGTGAAAATTATTTAAATACATTTAATGGAACTGAAAGAAGCATCAGACGCTAGGTATGTTTTGATGTTTTCTTTTCTTTAATTTGGTGTTATTTTTTATGGTGCTACTTTGGTAGACGATTGCACGGATTTTGGCGAGTGATACGACTTATGGTAAACTCATTGCTGGACAAGTTATTTAGGGTAACCAATACTTTGTCATTTTATTTTTAAAATAATGCATTTTATTATGCATAAATTAAGTGTTTTAAATATTATTTATGGCTTCTAAATATTAAAAATCAATTTAATTTTTATTTGAAATAAAAAATTTGTTGTTTATGATATTTTATATAATTTTATGTTGTGGATGATGTAATTTGACATCATCTTACTTAAAAAGTAATTGGTTTTATTAATATCTATAAATTTAATCTAATGTTTTAAACATTATTTATGTCTGTTAAATATTAAAATGCAATTTAATTTTGCATTTTTTTAAAAATGATTTTATTATGAATGACTATTTAAATAATTTTAATTCTTTGCATGATGTAATCAGCTTCCTGATTGGTTGCTGAATATTTGTGCATTACCACGCCATTTTAAAATTTTATTATTCACCTCTTCGAATTCCTCAAATTTCAAATGGAATGGATATGTCCATTTTGAAGATGAATGTTGTTATTGGTAATTAACAAGAATTATTGGTATCGGAATAAAAAAAATTGCCCTTTGAGACCTTATTTTGGCCAACCTGTCTTTCCTAATCAAAGATTTATTTATAAATTGTTACAAGTGTCAGAGGAAATTTATTTTAAATTTTTGGAGGAAACCTCGCTATTTGCTTCTTCAATGAAGTGCGAGAGATGTGGATCGCAGATGAAGATAGTTAGATCTTTTTTTTGTGGTACTTATGAATATAAGACAGGTAAAATACTTAAAAAAATGTAAGTACATAATTTTCTTTTACTTTATAATTGTATGCTTCAATTTTTATTAAAAAATTAATACAATGGGTTCTAGTGTAGAATTGGGTGCCCCTTCGATTAGTGACAATTTTTTGTAAAATTTTGGCGATGAAATCGTATTTCTGGTTACCATGATAGTGTAACTTTGCTTTAGCCTCCTGATTTTTTTAAAATAAAAATAGATTGATGTGTACATGGACAAATTTAAACAGTGCGCAATGTCTAGTTTATGCAATTCTGGGATTTTTTTTAAGTGAAAACAGATCGATGTGTACACGGACACAGAGTTTATGCAAATCTGACTTTTTATTTTGGTTTTGTGTAGCGGCCATCTTGAAATTGTGTCTTCCTGGCACCAATCTTGGCGTCAAAAAAGAATCGCCAAAAAACAAGGGGCACCCAATTGCAAACTTTTACCATACAATGTTTTAAAAAATTCCTGAGATATTTATTACCACATATGTTTTAATGTTAAATAATTAAATCCTATAAAACTTACTTTAAAGTATTTGAATTTAAAAAATATTTTAATTCTTTTAAACGTTGGTATGATGTTTTTAATTCGATATTCAATTTAAGTAATATTTTAATCCAATTAAATGTTGGTGCAATGTTTTTATAGCAGTGTTTTTATTCTATTATATGAAAAGTAATAAGTTAACCTTACTTTAACATTTCAAACTTAGTAAATGTATTTATTTACATTTGCCAGCCATCTTAAAAAACATTTTCAACAAAAAATTAATCCATTACTTTTAACGATATTTACTTTTTTACAGTTTCGAATACTTTACTATATGGGTAAAATATGTAAAAACAGCATTTTTCAAGATGGCTGACGACTGTAAAAACCGCAACAATGTAAATTGCATTTTATTATTTTCACATGTTATTTCATTGCTTTACTGATTAACTACTATTCCTTTTTGCATTTTTGGGTTTTCATCCACAGAGAACACGTCGGCGCTTTGGGAAAGAACCCGTTGGCGCCGTTGCATTTTTACTCGCCAAGCTGATGAGTCGAGCCGTAAACGTGGTTTTTAGTGTATGTAAATTCAAGTTAGCAGACAATGGTAGTAAAAATTCACAGATAATAAGTATGTAGATGTAAAATTAACAGGTTAAACATGATATACGAAAATAAATTTGTATTAAATTCAAGTTAGCACAGAAAACAATGCATTAAACATAACGGGAAGTAAAAATTCATTTAAAAAATAAAAATTAGTATTCTTATACTTATATGTATTTTCTCTAATTCATATAGAATACTAATATTTCTATTACAAGTGTCTTTTTTCATTATTAAGTACTTTGTCTGTTGATTGATGTATTTTGGTAAGAGCCCATGTAATAAATTAATGAATGCATGACCTTTAATACATCCATTTTACATGCTTTTCAGTATTTTTTTTTTTCAAGTTACTTGCATACAGCTTAAGGGCATTTTACGTTGAAACAAATACCTGTCCTTTTCTATAATATATTTCACAATACAAATAACCTTCAAGAGTAATCAAATTTTCTTCAGTAGCATTGTTGATAAAACTAGAACTTTATACATTTTAAAATTATTATAGGGCTTGGAAAACTCATGGTTCTGCGTGCTTACAGCTGTTAATAATTAAGAACATAACATGAACAGCTACGTTACAAATTAGCATTCACCCCTCCCGCCATATTTTCTTCCTTTGATCCCGAACTGACGAGCCGAGAACCGGAATCTTTCGACGAAAACTTCTTTAATTATGCGAAAATATTTCTATCTATTCGTTGTAAAAAATGATAAGAGAATAATAATATAAATCTCCAAATGCGAACAACGACAACCTTCGCACAAGCGAATATGATGTATTAGCTAGGTTACCAGGTTTGCACTATTATCGCCAAAGTTGGCGATATTTACATTTACCGGGTTCTCTGCGGAAGTGCTTCCGCATTTTTTAATGCTTGCTACAGCTGATTTAATATTTTATACATATCTTTGAAATAATTTGAAATGCTTATATGGAAATGTGTTGAATTTAGAATAGTGAGAGCACTATGTATGCAGAAAGCATTGCTAAGCATTTTGTACATCACACAGAGATAAGCATTTTTGTATGTATTTTGTATGTTGCATTTTTTGGAGGTGCTGGAGGCTTTAATGAAAATATTTTGAAATAACAATCTAAACATAAAAGTAGTGCTTCACACTGTAAAGTCACTAGTCAAAATTTCCTTAAATTCCTATAATCTGAAAAATTCACCTACATTCTTTTTTTTTACTCAGTGCTAGTCAAATATTACTTGCTTGAGAGTATCAAACCTGACATGCAAACTGTCTTCAGACCATATGAAATGCTGTAGTTTTAAGGCAATTTTTCTAAGCTGTCCATGTTTCAAAGGTAAAATATATTCTGAATTTTCTATTTTATGTTCACAAATACTAAAAATAATAATATAACTGATACTTAAAAAATAATCTATTTTCTCAGCAGAGGGTAAAACTGCTTATTATCCAGAACATGGGCTAATATTTTACCTCATTTTCTTTTCAATAAATGAATTAATATTTTAATATTCTTACTTGGAATGACACTTTTAAACTAACTAGCATTAGCATTTTTTTTTTCCCTAACATATTAAATTTGTAACATTTTAACATATTCAAGTATAACATACAGTATAAAAGACTTACATTAAATATATGAGTAAGTTTCCTTCCAAACTGATTACATTTTCAATTCAGCTTAAATTTCTTCACAGTTATTTGAAAATTATAGATGGCGGGAAACACATGCTGACGCAATGCATACGTCACACAGTAGGGGATTAGGGAATATCATGACATAACATTTCCCACATAAATAACAAATTAAAGAAATTCAATACAGAATATATAGGCTAAAATGAAAACTTGTGGCTTTTATATTACTGCACAAAATAAGGATACTCAATCAGCAAACAAAAATGTACCCAATTTTTCATATGAATAAATATTTATAACATGCATAATCTGAAAATGTAATATCCGTAATCAAAATATTTATCATACTTTTTCTTTCATCATTCAGTTCAATATCAATTTTATAACGTATTTAAAAATGTATTCAAAGATATAAAAGTTTTCAAAAGCAGATATGAAGGGAGAAAAAGCTTCCATTTAGAAATACTATATAAAACATTCAGAAACTGTTATTTTAAAATGAAGTCAAATTATACTTCATGTTAAAATAATAGTTTCTGAAACTGGTTTATCACAGCCTTCAACAGCAAGCTTATCAGCTTCTACATTTCCTGGGTTATTAGCATGACCTTTTACATAACACCAATCTACATTTAAGCCATGACGAGCATTATCTAAAGCTATAAAATCCTCCTTATTAACAACAGGTTTGCCATTAGCTAAAATCCATCCATTTTGTTTCCATTTATCAATCCATGTAGTTATTCCTTTAATAACAAATTGACTATCAGTGTATAAACGAAGATTTTTTATTCCTAGCAGTTTTGCTTGACGAAGTGCATGGACAGCAGCATAAATTTCAGCTCGATTATTTGTTTGCCTACCAGGTAGTCTCATACTGGTATTTAATTTATTTCCAGGACCCCAATAAATACCTATACCTGCCCTAGCTTCTTCTTTTCCATTACAAGAACTAGCACCATCTGTAAATACAGTAACGTACTCATCAGATTTACATTCAGGTAGTTTAATTTCTGTACTTATTTTACCAGTTTTAACAAATTCAAGAGCTTCTTCTTTACTCCAAAACTTTCTAAACCATGGCTTTGGAAAATCTTTTATTTGTGCTTCACATTCCGTCCATGTTGAATATACACCAGGACTTTTACCTTTACGTACAGCATAATAAGGCTTTTTAGGAGGTTCTACATTAGGAATAATAAGGGCTGGAATTTCATCAGCATCAGATGCACTAGATAAGATAAAGGGTTCACTATCTTGTTCTTCAGATATGTCTGAAGATGATTTTATAAGACTTGAGCAATTAGACGGTTCAAGAAGCAATTTAGAACCAGCAACTGCTAATCTGTCTGCTTCGTCATTACCATGATTCCTTGCATGACCTTTGACAAATATCCACTCAACATCTAAACCCTCGCATGCAGATTCAAGATCAATAAAATCATCTTTGTTAACAACAGGATCACCATTAACTAGTTTCCAACCATTTGATTTCCACTTCTTAATCCAGTCTGTAATAGCATGGATAAGGAACTGACTATCTGTATACAGTTTAACTTTCTTAGCACCAATCAGTTTGGCTTGTCTAAGAGCATGTATTGCAGCATGGATTTCAGCTCGATTATTTGTCTGACGTCCAGACAATCGCTTACTAGTATTCAGTGGATGATTTGGACCCCAGTACACACCAATTCCAGCTCTTGCTCTTAGTTTTCCATTTTGTGCACTAGCTCCATCTGTAAATATCACAACACATTCATCTGGATTAGCAAGGATGTACTCACAGTCCTTATTTTCAGGCCTTGTTCTTTTAATAACACGATTACTATAATGAATATTTCTAAGTTCTCGCTTAGTGGCTTTTACAATACCACCTGTACGAACATAATCCAAAGCTTCTTCTTCACTATCAAATCTTCTGTAACTGGCGTTTTGGAAATCTCGAATCTGAGCTTCACATTCAGTCCATGTATGATACACACCAGGTCGTTTTCCGCGATGCACAGCATAATAACACTGCCTGGATCGTTTTGATGGAGGATGTATTAATGTTGGAGGAGGATTATTAGTAATATCAGATGCTGAGGTCAATATGGTACTGGACACGGAAGGATTTAAATTTACATGATGGTTATCAGAAAAAGTGATGGATGCGGATTTCGTTGTATTTAATATAGAAACATTATTTTTCACTATACTACCAGAAGAACAACCAACAAACTGCTCCGCTAATTCGTGAGTCAAGAATTTTTTAAAAACAGCATTTGGATAACCTTTAACTTGAGCTTCACATTCTGCCCATGTCAAGTAAACACCAGGGCTTCTTCCAGACTTTACAGCATAAAAACCTGGTTTTGGCATCTTAATATTGGAATGGCTAGAGATACCTTTAAAAGTAAACACTACGGTTTCATAAACTGCAAAACGCAAATTCAATGTTTTGAAGTATTTGCATACTTTACTCTGCATTCAGGTGGCTGAAGCAAAGAAAGTCTATGTACAGAGCATATTCTTTGGCTGAAGAGGGCTTCTAACGTTTTCCGTGGTTTTGCATCCGCTAAATCTTTCTGCCTGCAGAGCAGAGGACAAGCCAGGGCGCATATACACAAACAAGTTAGTAAGTACTGGCCGATGCTATTCGCACCAACACACACACAGATCGTATTTTATTCTCGAGTGTCAAGATGTAGAAACATCGTTTTACTCGACTTCTGATAAAGATCGGGTGGGAGGAAAAAGAGAAGGGTGAAAGAAGTGTGGGAGGCGGATGAAAGAGAGTGAGGTCCGCACTAGCGGCGGCGAAAAAAAGGGGGGGTATCAAGTTCAGTGTCGTTATAAGATGTAGCCGCGGGTGGTAAAACCGCAGAGTCAGTTAGGCGTGAATGAGTCAATAAGGTTGTAATTCTTATATGGGGGACGTCACAAGGTAAGATGTTTTTCTCTGGGACGCGGGAGTGTCTGAGTGCTAATAAGGCTATTACTGTGGGTTGTACTGAATAAAAGAAGTTGACCCTAATCTTTTAATACTCTTGAATAAGTTCGATTCGAAGGTCTCTGGGAATATGATGTTGGGAATATACCAAGGAGCATTGATAATTTCTCGTAGAATTTATTTTGTAGAATTTGTAATTGTTTAATATTGGTTTTAGTGCATGTCCCCAGATCGGGCTGCATAAAGACAGCGGGCGCAGTATGCGATATAGAATTAATTGTTGTAGTAGATAAGTTGCTTTTTCTACCAAGAAGAGGTCGCATAGTACTGTGGTGATTTGAAATTTTGTACTACGGATCGGAAATGGGTTCTGAAGGTAAGTTTTGGTCAAGGGTGAACCAAGGTATTGGTTTCATAATCCAGTTTATTCTTCATCAAATATTTCAGGGAGTGGAGCTATTTCTTATATCGGCAGGCAGGGGAAGGAAAGGCTTGTTCACATAAAAGTATTGGTGGCTTCCTTTAAAGCAGAATTGATGCTGTTGGTAAATTTGAGACTTGGTGTTCTAAATCTTGTGTTGTTGATGCATGGGTTACCTTTGTATGGAGCTATTCAGAATTTCAGAGTATTTGATCCAATTTGTAACTCCTATACTTCGTCAAGTGAGGGGAGGTATTTATTAATGGGGATTTCAAATACAATGGGGTTGTGGTCGGAAGACGGGCATGCTGAAAGTACAGAGATATTGCATCTGTTAGTAATGTTATTTGAGATGAAGAAGTCAATTGTGGGGGCGCTATTGACCCGTAATGGGTGAGCTCGTCTGGAGCATGAATGTTAAATTTTTGATTGAATGAGTTTAAATATGTCATTTCCTTTTTTGTTAGCAGGGCTCGGTTCCAGCAGGGGTGTTTGGCGTTGAAGTCCCCTCCGACAATGTAGAAGTATTAGAATTAAGGAGGTGAATCAATTCTTGTGTGCTGGGATTATTTGGTGGGATGTATATATTCGAAATTTTGAATTTTTAATGTTCTATTACAATTTCTATTGTGTTACTTTCGAAAGTGATGCTGGGATTAGGAATTTGAGCGTGTTTTATGCTCCTTTTAACAAATGTGATGATGCCACCGCCTCTTCCAGTCTCACGATCCGTACGGTAGGTGTTATAATTAGCATAAATTACTGCTTTTTAAGTGCTGGTTTAAGGTGAGTTAAACTGGTTTAAGGTGAGTCTCTTGTATAAGTATTACGTCAGGTTCAATTTCAATAATGAGGTTGGATAATTCATCTTTTTTATGGTAAAAACCGTTAGCGTTCCAAGAGAGGAATTTTATGTTGCATCTGTTCTTGAATTTATTAGCATTAAAGATGCTTTCCTATTTTTTCAATGATTTCGACTACTGCGATTATTTTATCAAGATGTGATTTCTTGGTTTTATGTTTTTGAGTCCTTGTATCACTATTGTCCAGATTGTTTTAGCGAAGAGAAGTCAAAGAGGTCTGACAGGGAGGATTCTGCGGTGCTGGTAGTTTCTTCTCTTAGAATTTCGCTTTGAATGGGTTTTGAACGATATTTTCGTTACTGTTTGATGTCAGCGGAGGAAAGTCTTGTCTTCTGTTAGTCCAGGGATTGGTTGCTGGTGGAGGAATGGGTTGGAACTGAACTTGTTTGTTTTTTAGTCTGGCCCGGGCAGTTGGAGAAGTTGGCTGGGGTGAGGACCTTTGCAGTGTAACATATGGATGACTGGTCGATGGTCGGGCTACGGGTGCATTCTATAGGTTTGTGATTGCCTCCGCAACGGACGCATACCCAGTCTCTGGTGCAGACCAGGAAACTGTAAAAAAATCCCTGGCATCTATAGCATTGTGGAGGCCAGGTTTCTTGCGTAATGATTCTATTGCTACGTTCATATAACCTATGCGTTTGATTTTGAATATTTACTTATTTTCTTCTGATTTGGTATATGTACTAAGAAAAAGTGGCATTGGTTTATTTTCTTTTCTGTTTCTTAATAGTGTAATAAAGTTAACCTTAAATCTTTGTCAAGAAGTTTCTGAGTGATGGTTTGGGGATCTGTGGTGATGGGTAAGCCTCTTATTATGACTTTTAAAACTTTATCTTCGGGCAATAAGTAGGTGTGGGCTTTGAGGTTTGTTTCTTCAACTATTTTGCGAATGAATCGATGTGAGTCAGAGTCTGCAGGCTGTATTTCAAGGCGGCGTCCTTTTAAGGTGCCAGTTATCTCTTTTCCGGTTTGCTTGTTTAAGTTTTTTAAGAATTCATCCGCTTTTGGTACATCATCTATGACAATAATTGGCACTTTATCAATTCTGCTCGTTTTGGGGCTGGAGTTTGGTTTTCTATTTGCGGGAATGGTGTCACTTTTGTTTCGTTGGTCTTTTGGGGTGGTAGTGAGCTGAGTGGCTGATTCATCTTCGTTGTTCAAATGCATCTCGTCTATTTGGTTCTTTAATTGTTTATATCGATTGCTGGTTTTGAGGAAAAGCTCCTCATCGGAGTCAGAATCCGTTTGTCTATGACGCAATTTTCTTTTTCTTTGTTCTTTGAAGCCACTAGTGGATTGAAGTATGTAGCAGAAGTTTTTGATCTCTTCAAATTGTTTAGCGAGCTTTTCGTTAGAGGTTTTTGATTCGTTAATTTTTGCATTGGCCATCTCGTTTTCCTGCATACGCAATTGATTGATGGCTTTTACAAGGAGAAAGTTTAGTTCTTTTTGATCACTAGCGGACATAATCACATTTGGGTCGTTACGGATATCTTCCACCAAGGATTTGGTAGTTTCGACGTCGTTGGATAAAGTAATTTTGTGACTTAATATTTGGAGAACGTTGGGTTCATCATTGAGATGTCTCATGTGAGGATTTTCTGAGTTTGGAGGTGAATTTTCCATGTTTATGTAATTATTAGTTACAGTTATGTTTGTTGTGTCATATTTATTAATCATGTGAGGCAAAAAAGTTGGAAAAAAGCCTTACTTGAAGGCCGTACCCGAAGGTACCCTTATCAGCACGGTGAATAAAGAAAATCAGAAGAAAGAATGAAACACGACCTGTTTTATCCAGCGAAGGGTGCAGCAGTGCAGTTAAGGCGACGCTTTTGCGAGGCGAAAGCCAAAGAAGAAACAACCCAGAGCCCGTGAGGCGAGGTCGATGATCTCGGTACAGTAGCGGGGGTGGAAGCAACGCAAGGAAACGGAGAGCGAAGCGATAAGACGTCTATCTCGAACGCTATCCCACCTGGAAATGTTATTCGCACCATCGGTGCGATTAGCCGCTTGAGCTATTCGCACCAAAATTAACCACGCATGCGCATTCAGTTGTCGGATCCGTAATTTGAACCCAATCGAAAACAACGGATTCTAAGTACGCGAACTGCCTAAAAGTGTTGTAGTGAATCTTTTTTTTTTTTTTTTTAAAGCGGATTACTACCTTGGCGTAGTTTTGAAAATTGTCTGAAAAAGATAATAAAAATTAAACAGAGGATTTCTGTGTAGAAACTTTAGGCATGAAATAAGTTAAAAGCGATTAAATCAACTATTAAATGAATAATTAATCATATAATACTGGTTATTAACAATTTTGTATGCCTTTATATGGAAATATTTGGCATTTTCAGAACACAAAAAGTATTTTAAAGAAGTTTTTAATACAAACACAGTAATAAATTAAATTGAAATAAATAATGGGATGTAATTTAAAAGACGGAAATAATTTAGTGTAAGAGATTTAGATTTAAAAATTTACACAACAAATGATTTATCAGATTCATAAGGTTCTATTTCATAAAGAACTTTGATTTTGAAATATGGCATTTGAACTTATAAACATGTGTGGATACTGAAAAAAGTGATGAATATATAAGAATATTACAATGTTCAGTAAGTTTTCTTATTGAATAATAAATTCTGACAGTCCTATGCTATAAGACTAGGGTCTAAGTTTGCATAAAAATTCCTCAGTTAAATAAAATAATTTAAGTAATTTCCACAGCCCTTTTTGTCAATACATTAAAGATTTTTTAACTAATAACCTTAATTAATTTTTAACCTCGCTTGCAGTTAGAACCATCATTAAATCCCTATTTTATTTAATCATTTCCTGTAGATTATCATGTATATAGATTGGCCTCGTCTTTGTAACTGATAATTATTACTTGCAAATTGTTCTCTTGCTTGCGAATCCTTTCTATTTCTGAGTTAGGGTTAACAACCTTCGCTCTCGCTACCACATGTATGGAGTATAATGCATTACTCCGTGCGCCTGCCTTACAGAAATCAGCGTAAAATGCTGGCAACTGAGCTGATTGTGCGCATGCGCGAACGTAGGTGGTGTGAATAGCCTCTTAGCTATTCGCACCGTCGGTACGATTAGCCACTGCGGTAAGTACTCCCCCGGTATTGTGTTCATACAGGAACATAAATTTAACCCTAAGCATCCTGTTTATGTAGACAATTGCAATGTTTGTAGGTCCTTCAGATCTACTACAAACAGAAGAATCATAGGAGTGGTACAGCTGTCCTAATCAAACGCTGCATTCCTAACTAATCTGTTACGATTCTACAGCTTTTAGCCG